GAACTGTGTGTGTGTGTTTGTGGGTGAACCTTTGTGGTATGTTGGCTTGGATTTGTGCTTTATCTATAAAGCGGGGCGAAAGCCTTTTTCGGTATGTAAGTTGTTGCCAGATAGCCGCAATGCCATCAGATGGCTGCAGGTATACAAACTTTCTGGAACTCTGCCATTGAAGTTGTTGTACAGAACATCTAGAGTTTTCAGCCTAGGAAGGGTGGAGAAGTTGACCTTGCTAAGTTCTCCACTGAGGTTGTTGCTCTTGAAGTTAATTGTTATCAGATTGGTGCAGTAACCCAGGGCTGATGGCAACTCCCCTGACATGTTGTTGTAGTCCAAATGCAACTCTTCTAGTCTCTCGAGCTCACCTATATGGAATCTGGAATCTTGCCGCTGAAACCATTCCTTCCAAGGTCTAGTGTCACCAGATTGCTGAGTTTCATTATCTGAGCACCATCAAGCTCTCCATCTAGAACATTGTCGGGAAGTGAGAGGTACTCCAGTAAGGAAGCATCAAAGAGTTCATTTGGGAGAGTCCCGCGGAGGTTATTGTGTCCAGCCTTGAGCACTCTGAGCATGGAGCAGTTACCAAGTCCAGGAGGGATGATGCCTGTAAATTGGTTGTAACAGAGCTCAACTACAGCTAACAATGACGAGATGCTGCAGAAATTATCCGGTATTTGCCCAGTGAAGCTGTTATTGCTGGCATTGAGCACAACCAGATTGTCCATCACCTCCCAGGTGGTGGATGATGGAAACCGTCCTGTGAACAAGTTGCTTGAGATGTTCAGTACCTGAAGAGGCCGTGATGGGGTTGAAGATGGCAGCTCTTGCACGTCTGCACTGAGGCGGTTGAAGCTGACATCAAGGACGATGATGCTACCGGACGACACCAGTTCCAGCGGCAGGCCACCCGACAGCGAATTGTGGGACAGGTTGAGGCGCAGAAGGCCAGCAAGGTTGCCGAGGGATGGTGTTATGCGCCCCTCAAGGCCCTTCAAATCCAATGAGACATCTGTGACTGCCCCATCCTCGCCACAGGTGACCCCTTCCCATTCGCAGCAGTCTGCGCCGTTCTGCTTCCAGGACGTGGCGAGGCCACCGTCCGACGACAGACCACTGAGAAACTGCAGGAGGGACCCCTTCTCCTTCTTTGTGCAAGAACTGGTGGGAGAGGCCAAGGAGATCAACATCACAAGGGCAAAGAAAATTAATTTTCTGCTGCACTTCGTGTGTGGAAAATGGAATGGCTGCATGGTTTTTGTGCTGAAACTAGCGTGGAAGCCAGATGCTTAAGTTGTGTTGTAGTTGGGTAAGACATGAATGGTGGTCTAATCATGAAAGAGAAATGAGGGGAAAGAAAAAAAATTGGGGTCAACGAAATCAGACACCAGCCCACCAGCAGCTTCTTAGTTCACACTGACGTTTCAGCGTTTGGCTATTGGCTGCCTGCTATACTCTAATGGCAAGTAAATCGCCCATTTTTCCTGAAAACTGACCGTGCAAAACATATCTTTTCTGGTCATCCTTGACCCAATTCTTATTGAATTTTAACAGCATATCATTAAACTTGAGCAGACATCTTCCGTTACCACCTTCACTAAATAAATCTTACCAATACTGATAAATATTATCACTTCTTGATGCATCCTTTGCTTAACAGGAAAATACGTGCATCCAAGTAAAGGAAGCAGTTTTTTCGGAAAAAAAGGTTGAGAAAGAATTCGACAACAGTTGCTGAAGGCTTGCGAAGATTTGATGAGCAAGATAGTACTCCCTCCGTCTCAAAATGTAAGATCATTTCTGACATTATGATAGTAGTACATGAGAAGCATTATTGCGAAAGGCGCTTTCGGTCAAGAGCAATCATTGACTTATCTGTCAATATGTGAACGACGCCAAGTGGGGGATATGTGGTCTCTTCCATCTTCTTTGACCCGAGGTGTTTAATTGCCCACTCGCGCACTATTATTGTCTGATGGTTACGTTTGCTGTTGTTTCCCCACTCTCCTGGCTCCACTTGCACACTATTATTGGGGATCTGTGGTTGCCATCTGAACTCGGAAGCAGTTCAAAGTAAACTGGACAGCGTGTGGTTGAATCATTAGTTGCTTGGTCCTGAAGCTCTGATTCTTGTGTGGACATAGTCTTTAGGGTGGAACCAGCAGGCAATACAGTGCACGGACTGCAAATTAGTAGTTGAATGATTCGTGTTTAAGTTAAAAATAAAGAACCACATTTCCATTTCATGCAGTTTTGTTTTACTTCGAGGTTGTGTTGCGCTGATGATCTGTCCTAGGTGTAGCTCTACCCATTATTGTTCGGTTTTCTTCTTTTATCCAGTGTTCTCGTGTCCCCTGATTTGTCTTTCCGAGGGGAGTAAATTACACGATAGTACCACATTTGGGACGGTGTTGGTGAATTGGTACCAGTTTTCAAAAAATTTACATGTAAGTATCAAGTTTCGGGCAAGCCGTTGCAAATCGGGCTAAATCGCGTATAAGTGTATTGACGCTGTATCTGACTGGCGGGCCCATCAGGCAGGTGCCAACTGGCATGTTTTTTTACAGAAAAGCCCCTTGCTTATACGTAATCATGTAAATGTCTTTTATTTTGTGGAAAAAGGTTCATGTGACAGACTTTTTTTCTGTTAGCAATTTCAACGACCGAATCGAACTCCATTGCAAGTTTTCATCGAATTCGACAAATAAATAAAATAAACAAAACTTTCCGCTCGGGCAGAATTCGAACGCTGGAGTACCACGCTGGCCACCACGCCGCAACGACGCTAGTGTTAGAATGCAGGCAAGAATTGTTTTTATACTTTTCTCGGGCACGCTGGCCGGCGGTTGAGCCCAGCGACACTACGCGCACTAACTTACTGTTTTTCTATAATCATGCTATTTTATTTTGCGATTACTTATTAGTATTATTAAATTTTTTGAGACTAGAACACACGCACAGTCAACATTTTATGTGTCTTCACTCAGGACTACTAGCATGCACAATTATCGTGTATCCTCGTTATATTATTCAAATACAAAACTATTAAAAATATGCTTGACACAAAGTTTTTTTTTGAGTTACTCGTATATTGATTGTATTTAAAATATGTCCAACGTATATTATCAAATGGACGTATTTATTGAAATGCAAGAATGATTTTACAAAATAATTTTTAATACATGCTGAACATATTTTGAAATAAACAATGTTGAAAAATTCATCATGTAGTAAGAAAATCTTCACCATAAATTACAAAAAGTTCACTGGAATTATGTAAAATGTTAATCATATATTAAAAAACAAATTCAACATATATTACAAAAATGTTCAATGTGGATTAACAAAAGTTCATTATATTAAAAAAAGTTCACATTTTGTAAAGAAAAAATCATCTCCATTAAAAAATGTTTACTTTACGCTAAATCATGCTCAGCGAATATTAAATAAATGTCCTTGTGTATTTGAAAACAAGTTCAACATATACTGAAGCTTAACTTAAAAAATGTTCAGTAAGTATGTTAAAAATCCAGGATAATAGCCAACCTAGTGAATGAAAAAAGAAAGAAAAAACAAAAAAAAGCCGAAACCAGAAACAAAACTAAAGCATACTAAGAGAAATGGAATGAAAAGAAACCTGGGCACCTCTCAAAAAAAACCTGGGCAACGAACGAGCCCGAGCGCGTGCGCTGATAAAAAGCGAAACGGAAAAACAAATTGCAGGCCACGCTGGCCCAACCGCCGGCCCAGGGTGCTTCGGTATAAAGAAAATCGAGCGTCTATATTACACTAGTAAGCTTGCACGTGCAACACACGTCTCAACTACAATACATTAATTCTAGGCAAACGATTCTACCCGTCCGACCGACAAAGTCAGCCGATCGCGCGCGGGGTCATTGGATCGTGAGAGATCGTGTGTCTCCCAACGTGTCCCGATTCACCATATCTCTCGTCCTCTTGTTTTGCTCGCTCTCACCATCTCATCCTCTCTTGTTCACCCGTTCCCCTCCCCTGGCTCCACACCTTCCCTCTAGAGCTGCAAGCAGGCAGGGGCGAGGTATACACAGGCGGAGGCAAAGGCAGGGGACGCATGGGGAAGCGGAACACGGAGGCAGGGGCAGAGTCAATCCCGTGCGCGGGGGAGGCGGGCGAAATAGGGACGCGAAATCCATGGTTGCAATCGCTGAAATCGGGCGGCTGCACGGTGACCTGCCCAAATTTGGGCCGATCGGCCCTTAGTTCTATCATTAAATAGACCTACTTTTTTGAAAATTTTAAATCTCATACAAAGTACTTATAATACCTAATTTTAGAGTCATAAAAATGACTGGAAATGGGATGTTTAGGAATTAAGATGCCAACGTCCACTGCTTAGCAACTATGAAGAGCATTGACTAACTCGTACTCCCTCCGTCTCATAATATAAGAATGTTTTTCAAGCTAACATAGCCTGAAAAACGTTCTTATATTATGGGACGGAGGGAGTAGAATATCAATTCCATGTTTCAGAAGGCAGTATATGACATCATAAATCTATGAGCCAATCTATCTAGATCCCAAACTAAAATTCAAGTGCATACAAATGTTTTACATAGGCAGATCAAGGAACAAATCCGTAGATGAGTGCTCGTTATGCTCGAGCTATAAACTATACAGCTAAAAGTATATGATCTACATGTCAAAAAATGTACTACCTCCAATCCAAATTAGTTGTAGCTCAAACTGATGTATCTAACACTTAAATAAGTCTAGATACATCCGTTTCAACGACAAGTAATATGGATCGGAGGGAGTACGTGATCTGAACAGATGGACTACAAACTGGTTGAGAACGACAATTGAACAAAGACAGACTGGAACCGAAGGGTTTACCTTGATGGAAAAGGGAATCAAAGAACATGAATCTGGTTGAGCGCAAGATGGTTCCTGGCCTGGACAAGAAGAAATCAAAGGAGAAAAAAATGTGTTTTCTCGGATGAGCTATCCATCTAAAGTTTATCTCACTTTTGTAAGTGTTGCATCTAAAATACATGAAGGTGGCTAAGATTGGGAAGCAAACCTTTTGATAGCTATCGACAAATCAATATCACTCCACATATGAGAGGTTTACCAATTCTGCAATCGATAGAGATAGACTGGGCATTTAGTCGTTCACCAGAATCATCACCAAAATCCTTTACAGCCACTAACTCTGTTAACCTGACCAGGTAGCTGACGTGGAGAAAAGCAGAGTGTTTATGAAACCAGATGTTAAGTGTGTAGGGTAAAAGATTATTAAATCATGATTTGCATCATCACAACAAAAACTTTTGTAGTACCTCATGAATACGCAATGCATAAAAATATGAAAAACGTGAGAATACAGTTGCAAGTAATTTGATTTGAACAGAAATAAAGATCCCCAACTTACACTATTGTTCCAAACATAGAAGTCCGAAAGAGGAAGATTTTGGCCCAATCATCCACCTCTTATGCCAAACTGATTCGAGCAGGAACTGGAGTACTGTATCTCTAGCACAATCAACAGCTAATTAAAAAATTGAACTACAGAGTCAGAGTGCTAAATCACAAATTAGTGCATGTCTGCAGCTGCACAATTTCCAAAAAAATATATGGTGGAGAGATGAGTTACCTTCTTGCTTCTTAACTACTGAGCATTGTGCCAACTTTCTGTCTCAGTGGTGCTTCCCAAGCCCCAGCTTGAGGTATGTACATGGAGGAGAAGCATGGAAAGTGAAGGGGAGAACTGGAGGTAAAGAAATCAAAAGGATAAATAGTTCACCTAGGCTTGGGGCGACGATGGCATGGCCATGGAGAAGAGATCGAGCAATAGGCCCTAAAAAATCCCATATATTTACATGACAACAGGACCTGGCTAGATCCATCTCCTCTTGGAAAAGATCTCTTGATTCGTTGAAGCAATGAAACTGACACCATAATATTTTGAATTAAAATCAGAAATCATTTTCCTCTCTTGGCTAAGTAAAAGGAAGCTTGTATGTAAAACAATTATTTGGTAACTGATATCATCAAGAAACCTTTGTTTCTATCATGTTTTCACCTGCATACGTGATGCATAGCAGTACCCCATTACATAAGAACCAGAGCTTGAATTTACATGAGTCCATTACTCTCCAGATCTAGCAATGGCTCCTATAAATATGCAATTCCTACAATGCAGTTATATTCTAGACAAGGTCCTGATAAAGAACTTGATTACTACCAGGATAAGAAGGTGCTAATGATTAAAAAT